AGCCGAACACTTCATTCCCGGGTAAGTCGTCACTCTTCCCTACTGATCCTCACCCTCAGATTTGCAGCTTCTCTATCCGAATAAAACCCTATTGTGCAAGTGGGTATTTTGAAATGGTTGCAAATCAATTGGAAAAGGTTAAGCTTCTTGAGCTCTCAATGTTTAGATTTTTTTTATTTGTTAGTGGGAATCCTGGATTTACTTCTTGTTGTTAGGATGCGAAGATAATGGGGATCCGAAAGGGGCCCCTAGATATTAAAAATGAATTCTTTAGCTCTGTTTTGTAGGAGGTTAGTCGGTAAGTCGCCTTATACTTTCCTCATTTCGAGAAAATTATGTGAACGTAGTTTGGATGGGGATGGAAGCTACAATGGGTTTAGTTATGTGGTGGAACCCTTGAAGGAAATAACATTAGATTCTAGTTTTTATTGTAATTCTGATGAAAGTGAAAATGGTGGTGTGTATGAGTGTGAAAGCCCTGTCAAGAGCCAGTTCTCGTTGAGGCAAAGCTTTTTTTCGAGAACAGGTGATGATGCTAGACAGGTTCTTGACATTTTAGATCAAGATGGGCCTGGGTTTGATGCAAAATCTTCTCTGAATATGTTGCAGTTAAGAGTTTCAGGGCTTCTTGTGAGGAAAGTATTGAAAGGAATTTTGGGCAACATAAATTATGCAAACAAGACCAGGTGTGCGAAACTAGGGTATAAGTTCTTTGTGTGGTCTGGTCAACAGGAGAATTATAGGCACACAACAAACTCGTACCAGTTGATGATGAAAATCTTTGCCGAGTGTGAAGAATATAAGGCAATGTGGAGACTTGTAGATGAGATGACTGAGAATGGGTTTCCAATTACTGCACAGATGTTTATTGTATTGATATGCACTTGTGGTGAGGCGGGTTTGGCTAGAAAAGTAGTGGAGAGATTCATCAAGTCAAAGACTTTTAGCTATAGACCATTTAGACATTCTTACAATGCTATTCTACATTCACTTCTAACCATTGACCAATACAAGTTGATTGAGTGGGTGTATGAGCAAATGTTAGCAGAGGGTTATTCTCCTGATATTCTAACTTACAATGTTGTTATGTGTGCAAAGTATAGGCTGGGAAAGTTAGATCACTTCTACAGATTGCTCGATGAAATGGGTAGGAATGGATTCTCCCCTGATTTTCATACATTTAACATCCTTCTCCATGTTCTTGGCAAAGGGGACAAACCTCTGGCAGCAGTTAATCTTTTGAATCACATGAAGGAAGTTGGTATTAATCCAAGTGTTCTTCATTTCACAACATTGATAGATGGCCTAAGTCGAGCTGGAAATTTGGATGCTTGTCGGTATTTTTTTGATGAAATGGTAAGGAATGGGTGCATACCAGATGTGGTTTGTTATACTGTAATCATCACAGGACATGTGGTGGCAGGGGAGCTTGAGAAAGCTGAAGCAATATTTGATGAAATGATCACCAAGGGATGGCTGCCAAATGTATTTACTTATCACTCCATGATTCGTGGTTATTGTATGGCAGGGAAGTTTGAGGAGGCTTGCTCCATTCTCAAGGAAATGGAATCTAGGGGATGTAATCCAAATTTTGTTGTGTACAGTACCCTTGTGCGTAATTTACGAAATGCTGGAAGGCTTGCTGATGCTCATGAAGTAATACGACACATGGTGGATAGGGGACAATATGCACATCTAGTCTCAAAAATCAAGGGGTATAAAAGGTGCTAAATTAGAAAGTATCTAATATGAGGCTGCTACATTTGCTGCCTCAATGGCTCAATATACTTGCTGGTCAGCTTTGTCAGCATCATGCACTTGCTGCCTGTTAATAAACATCATGGGCGATAAAAGGGTAAATTGTGCTCACCCTGTTTTCATTCTCATATCATCTCTAGAAGTGTGATTAAACATGATAAAAAACCAAATTAATGTTGTTGCTTATATGCATTTGAGATTTTATTTTTAATTTTGCCCATTCATGGACTATCTTCTTTCTATTGAATTTACTCTGTGATTTTTAGTTGGTGATGAGATTCTTATTCTCTTTTGATCGTTAGAAAGTCCATAATTTTCTTTGTTTTGATAAGATATGGCATGTCATTAGTTTTTTTCATATATCTGAAAAAAATAAGAAAAAGGGAAAACATCTAAGCAGAGAAAGCTGACATTTTGCCTCTCCCCACCATTCTAGATTTTTCTCTTCCTTGCTACTTATCTCATCAGGGAGTTGCGTATAATCTTGTTATGGGAAGCAAATTGACATTTTGGCTCTTTTGTGATTCTAGAGTTTCTTTTGCTTCCTAGATGCTTGCAGAATATTTTCTCTTGAAGTCTGTCTAACGTCCATTCCTAGACCTTGGAATTTCGTGACTTCTTAAGCTCTATTTTCAACTCAAATTCAAAATTCTGATTAAAAATCAGTTAACTTTCATACTTATACTTTGAGCTGATTTGACTAACATTTCAATCTTGAATCCTTTGTGTGGCAATTATTAGAAGCTGCAATTTTTTCCTAGGAGAAATGGATACAAATATAGAAAAGGTGAAAAAGACAAGGATGCTTATGCTCTTCTCTTCTCTATGTGCAGGTTTTGTCTTTGATCAATCACTAGGCGAGACTCAAGCAGTAAAGAAATTAATTTGAAGCCTTTGCTCCTATTTTCCTAATCTTGCAAGGCAAGCAGCTTGTCCAGTTTCTCATTCTGGCTCAATCTTGGGAATGCCTTGAGAAGGTGAATTTTCTACACGCAGATCTATTGCTGTAATTGATAAGGCTGAGTTACATTTTTTTATTGTGTGAGATTTTGGGACATAATGTTAGAAATCCTTGAGAACCTGATGGACCAGCATCTATAAGTTTTTCTACAGCAAGCACTGGAAGAGTGTTTGTGAGGAATTATATGGAGTGTGCTGTGGATCCCAGTGGTGGATGCTAATATTGAAGAAATTGTATTTGTCATTGCTGTAAGATTTCATCACCATTGTCCACCAGAAGCAACAGCAAGGTCTGCTTGATTGAGTATCTTTTGCCTCTCAAGTTGGGTTCTGCATCAGTCATTTATCACTGAGTGACCTGTTGATTTTTAAAATAGCAACAACCTCGGCTCTTAAACATCCAAGAAGGGCATTCTCTCCAGATTGGATGTGAAGGATAACTTTCTGGATATGATGTTGACTTGATTTTAGATCTATGATATCTTTCTAGGCCCTCCACAAATGATGATGTTGTGAGGTATCCACAATTGCTTCAAGAATATCACATGCTGCCGAGCTCTGATTCTGGATAGGAAACATTGAAGACTACCTCTTCATTGCAGTTTCAAGTGACTTGGTAAGCCTTTGCGACCCATCAAGTTCTGGATGCAAACTAATCATGTCTGATTTCATTCTTTGTATTCTTTTACATACGTTGGCAAAGTAATAACAGTATTTCTCTTGTATTTAGTTCTGTCTATTTTTACTCTCTTAACTTTAGATGCATCATTTCATTTGCTAGTATGATAAACAAAGGGCGGGGTCAACCGCATTTAAGATGTCTATTAATATAGGCTGCTAAAAAGTTGAATTTGGCACTTCAGCTCCTAGTTACATTTGACGTCAAAGGCTGACATTTGACGTCAAAGGCTGCCATTTGAATGAGATGCTGTTTAACGAGTGCTACCTGCTTCTGCTCTCCTCTATAGTCTAATCAATGGTCCCCCCACTCTTGATGTCATACTTGAGAGTTTGTTTGCCCTGGTTATAGTGTTTATAATATATAAGTGTTTGAGCAGGTTTTTGCAGAAGTTTTAAATTATGCATATATGGAAAATAATAATTACAAAAAAAATTAATAAAAGAATTTAATTCAAAAGTAAAACCGTGAAAGATCTATTCCAGAAGCTACAAATTTGTAACTTCACCTTTTAACTATTTTAGATGAGAACCTTAAAAGTATAGTCTAGGTATAATATTACCAAAGTATTCTCAATGAGTTAATACATGAAGATAGTTTCTTTTAAGAAAACTTAGAGAAATTTATGGTTCAAGTTACACTTTAGAAAACAGATTCTTGATTTTAAATCAATAATCTTTGCTCTCTCCCTTAAGTGAAGTGCTAAGTAAGCCTACAATGCCATTAACATTGGCCTTTTGCACAATAGTAATTTCAATTTAGTCGAAATGAGAGTATCCAAATTCGAATTGTATAAGTAAGTTAAAAGGATTGAATCAGACCTTCCACATCAATGTAATGGACTTTAGGAGAATGACAAAATGGAATTGTTCTATTTGTTTTTTCGTTTAAAGAAAAAATAAAATAAAATTCCTCTCTCGTGTTGCCAAAAAAATTCCTCTCTCGTGAAGAACTAACTGGCATATTCAAACAGCCCCTGGGGAACTTTATGCATCGACAATGACTAGACAACGAATGGAAGAGGAAATTCATGTAGCTAAAACTCTCCTCACTTTTCATAAACTTCAAAACAGGACAAAGCATTAACTTTTTCACCCAATTTGCAAGACTAAATTTACTTGCTAACCCAAAATCATAATATCTAATTACATCCCCAGAACTTTCAAGATCTTCTGCATTTCTGGAAAAGTGCTTACTTTCCTAAAAGAGCTACAAAGCTGATTATGGGATTTCATTTCATTTCTTTTCTTCTCCTTTCTTCTCTTCCTTCTTCTCCTCTTTCTTCTCTTCTTTCTTTTCTTCTTTCTTTTCTTCTTTCTTCTCTTCTTTTGCAGGCCCAACTGATATTATATCCACTTTCCCCACTTTTCTCAGCTTCTTCATCACTGCCACTGCGTCCATCTGCCCGATCACCGTTAGCTTCTGATCCTTCAGATCCGCAGCAATCGAATCAATTCCTGCCAATTCAAACTCAATCTGTAATAATTCATGAACAAATACATATGTGAAATATAGCAAATCTCTTCCTAATTTTTCTTTTGATCGAATATCCTAGAAATTAAAAAAAGAGTGGAGATCTAGAGTATGCAAGCACCATATATATCTGCAGCAGCTTCTATAGCCTTCTGCTTTGTTTTATCATCCGTCATGGTCAAAACCTTCAGCACCACCTTCTGCTTTGATTAACAAAGCAGAAAAACAAACAAGATTATTTTCGGAATTATATTAGCTATTTGTAGAGGATATAAAGTAAAATGAACGAGGAAAATGAAAAGATCACCTGAGCCATTTTCTGTTGATGAAAACAATGTGAAACTTGAATTGAGAGGAAATGGAATGGGGAATGAACCTTTTTGAGAAGTTATGGAGTTTTTAAAGAGGTAACGTGAGGCTACGGGATCTGGTGATGGGTACATTTTGAATGCGGACACCAACAGGGTTATGCTGGTATTACGATATTTACGTAATAATTAAATAAATAAATACATTTTTTAAATCACATCATAAAGACTGTATTGTTAGAAAAGATTAGAAGCGAATTATTTTCATTTTGACGTATGTATAAGTAGTAACAGATTCCATGTGATGGGTCTTGTACGAACCTGGCAACATGACCAAATTTTGCTAATATGGACAAAAACCTGATGTTTGGCATGATTAAATTTTGCCAGTCACTTGATCAGAAAAACTCCTTTTCTAATTCCGTCAAGTGAAAACAAGCAGAAAAAACTGACCTTATCACCATTCTCAACACCAATTAATTATTTTATTTAACAAGAGATGATGACCCACAGGGCCACTCCAATTCATCCGTTTTCAACTTTGCTTTCATGTCACAATTTGAATTCAATAGCTTCAATTTTCAAAAAGGACTGTGATGAAGAATACTACACTGCCAGATTGTTGCACCAGTTAGGTTGTATTGATAATGGAAATTTTGTTGAAACAGTAATTCAAGGGTTATATCTGTAAGGTCAAGAGTAAGGGGTTAAGTTGGAATTTGGAAGGGAGTATCGTCCCTATGTTTTGATGAATTTGAACAATGTTGTGAATGGGCGGCTTTTGCCATCCTTTTCGCCACTTTCAGCACTTTCTGTTCAAAAAATGTTTTTAGTAGGGGAGGACTTTCCTCCCACAACACAATTAACAAGGGTAATTTAATATTAATAATTTAGTAATAATTTTTTTAATGAAAATAAAAAATTTTAAATTGAGTTATATAATATACGGATGAAATGAATTAAAAAATAAAAAATAATTATTTTTTATTATGCAACTTAAAATTAAAAAAAGGGGAGAATTTGGTACATAAAGTTCAATTTTTTGTAAATAATGAGGCCAAATCCCTTACTTGCATCCTCCAATTATTTCTTTTTCACGATCAACACCTTTCAAATATTTTCACCCCGATCAACACTTTTCACTTTTCAAAACCCGTGAAAAATTTAATATTTTAACGGACTGTCATGTCACCATTAATAACCATTAAAAAACACAATACGTGGTATTCAAATAATGACGTGGGCATTATGTGACATTATTTATCCAATGTGGATGATTTTTTGATGATGTAGCATGATGACATGGCATAATTTTATGTGAAAACCTCCCAACAAAAAAAAAAAAAAAAAAAAAAAGAAAAAAAGAAAAACATGACCACTTCTTTTATGGTTATTTGATAGGTTAAAGTGGACAATATTAGAATCACTATGTGTAATTTTTTAAACAGTAATATCATGTAGACATCAACTAAAGCCCTAATATCCCTAAAGGGTCTCAT